TCTGGGTCTTCAACACCCTGTACGCCAAATTCCGCGGCACGGCCTCGGCGAGGAAGAACCCGCGCGATGGCCGCCCCGAAGTGGCCGCCGTCCACCCCTTCTGGTGCCTCGCCAACCACGACTGCGACCCTAACGTGACGTGGGAATGGGGAGGTCGCATGACTCTTTGGGCGAGAGAGAAGCGCGTCGTTGGGGACTTGCCGGGTGGGATACGGAAGGGGGAGGAGATTTTGAATCATTATTGCGATCTTGGACTTCCGGCGAAGGATCGAAGGGAGTGGATGTTGGGGAGCCTTGGGGGGTTGTGTATGTGTAAACGGTGTCAAGAGGAGGAGGCTCAGGCTAATGAGATCTAAGGTTCGGTGAGGAGTACCTCGGAGAGATACCACGTTGATGCCTAGCTAGGTGGATGCGAAGGGAAAGGGCATTCTTCCGGCAGGTTACATGAAAGTTTAGAACAATACCTCTCCTATGGGGCTTTCCAAGTCTGGGTTATATAATGCACCTCGTTTGAGTCGAATATTGAAGGATTCCCGTCACATTTAGAGAGATGAATAAACGAGAGAACCCGAGACGGAACCCATTTTGAAGAGGTGAAACAGTTGCAGTTGCCTTGTTCTTTATACAGTTATGGCAAGGGAGAGCAAGTCGAACATGATATTCTGAAAGTCGAACGGTACTGTCCTGGCATATCTACCCTTCCCCATCGCCATCTTCACCCGCTCCCTTCTCTTCCTCATCACACGGATAGGGCGCCGGCAAAACACAATGATGCGAAGGCCAAACCCCACACTTCGTACACGTATACAAACTCTTCCCCTCCTCACACGCCTCGCAACTGTACTCGGTCCTCTCCCCGCCTTCTCTCGTCTGATACACGAACGTGACGCCGGGGCGCCTATTTTCGCGGATCCAGTCCTCGAGATCGGAACATTGCAGCGCAACGGGGTCGTCGCAGTTTGTTTCGGACTCGGTGACGGTGCAGGTCGTGCAGGCGCATTCTTCGGAGAGGGAGGAGGGGCCGCAGGTTGTTGTGGTTCCGGTTATGAGTGGGGGGAGGAGTTGGCGGGGGCGGAGGTTCGTAGCGGTGGCTGTTGCTGCAAGGGATAGAGCTGCTATGGAGAGCCTCATATTTCTTTTCCCTTCCCTTTTTCTTTTTTTTTTTTTTCCTTTTTTGGTCCTGTCTGTTGTTGAGTGTTAAGGTGGAGATATTGGGATACAGGTGAGGAAGGGAGTTCTCTGAGAAATATGCCGCCGTCGGTCGTGAACTTGTTTCCCGGTTTTCATTACTAGATCTACGAAGGATAGTAATCAAGGTGTGTCTGGAATTAACTTCGAGGATCTGTACCTGGCTTAATGATTCTTCAGAGACTCTCATTGACCAATCTCTGGTCCAGGAAGTGGTTTTCTCTCTCTGAGGCGCGGATTAAGGATTCGATGGGTTTTTTGCCTGATCCTACGGAGCGGCTAAATACGCCCACCACGCACGCAATGAGAGTAAGGCTACTAGATATAACGCGTCTCAGGCTTTGCATTCAGTATGAGGTATGTCAGGTTGTCTTGGGCAGAAGACAGGCTCCGGTTTCACGACCGATGTGAGGTCTGATTGCGAGAGAGCTCTCTTTCCAGCCTTGATTTTCTTAGTGCTTGGGAGCATGACCATGCTTGGCCGGTTTTGCTACTACACACGGACGAGGCTATAATATCTCCTCCTCGGTCTCAGGATCTGTATAGATCTCATGCGAGGCTATGGTTAGTAGGCCTGAAGTGGAAAAGAAAGAAGCTGCTCCGATCTTGATCCGGTATCCAAGTCGTGATCGGAGCCGGGCGGCGTAGCTCGGCCGAACGGGGTCTCCGGGGCCAAGGTCCCGGAACTCGGGCAGAGCTTCGGTCTAAACATGGCCGAGGTAGAGACCGTCTTTTTCGGCCTCGGGATACATCCTAATAACTTCAAATCTCATTCATTCAGTTTCTAATGCTGCTGGTCTCTCTCTATATAGTCTAAGATGAAGATGTACCTATCTATCCTAGAGAAAATGTACCAAGTCGGAAGGGTCAAATGAGAACAGCCGACGAGGCGCAACAATTTTTTTTCTTTTTCCCTCTTTTTTTTTTCTTTCTTTTCTTTTTTCCTAGCATCTGCCCTGTCCACTCCTCAAGGCATTCTTGCTTTTCTATGAATTGCTTCGGGGTCCTTGAGTAGATCCCAGCTGCGTAAACTACGTTTCAACATGTTCGGAGTTCGAACCGCCCTTTAGATCTTTTCTTCCACCCATTGAAGATATTCGCCGTCTTAGCATTTACAGAGGACAGGCCATCTTCTCTTGTCTCCTCGACAGAGTGAGAGAGATCTCTTCCGGAATGAGGAGAGGCATCTCCAGACTACCTGCATTTGGGGACATTCTATTAAGAGGGGTTTCATACGTGTACGCTATGAAATCTCGCAGGGTTTCTCCACACCCGGCTTTCGGGAAATCCTACAACGAAAACCCCCCTGGGGATTTCCCACGAACGCACGCCAAGAGGATCACCCGAGCGAAAAAAGAGCCCAGGGCACATGCCAGAACGGCGCCGACGGGCTTGGCAGGAGCCGCTAAGGAGCTTGAGGGTGGTAGCGCGTGCGCTGGACGTGGAGAAGCGAAGCGAAGTTTTGCTTTGAGAAAGCGGGGAATCGAGGGATCCTCGTGGCGAATCGATCGAGGCGTCTCAATAGATCTGGTAAGCTACTTTGGACTAGTACGAAAGGTATCCTAAGAACAAGTGCTTATGGCAGATGGGCGGGGTCCGGAAGTCCGTTTCTTTTTGGCGACCGGAAGGGTGGGCTGCCCCGGGTCAAAACATGGGCTGGGGCTGTTAACACGTACGTGGACACCACTTTGTGTCTGTCCAAGTGAGGTTCCAGGCCTGGGCACGGTCTTCTTGATCTTCAGCCAGGCCAGTCGGAAAGAAGGGCAGAACGCAACACACGAAATAACAAGGGGCTGTTCCGCATAGTATTCGCAGACCACGGCTAAGAAACGCGGTAACACTAGCCTTAAGGCTCACTCATCCTTTTAGACAGCCCAGATCTAGGAATTTACCAAACGGGCGGAAATGGGCTCTTGGCAAAACAAGATGTTGCCAATGCGGGCAGGCCATGGCAGGGAGCGGACGGCCGGGGCAAAAATCCTTCAAAGTACTTCGTACATGCGAAGCAGTAATAACACGTAGAAGAGGGTCGAAGCAACAAGCAATCCTGAACCCCAATGCCAAGAATGCTGATGTGGAGAGAAGAATTCAAAAAGGTGAGAGGGGGTAAAGAGGGGGAAAGCAAAGAAAAAGCCAAGGCCTATAAGGATGCGGGACAGACTTGGCTTTCACGGACCAGATTTGGCCTTTCGGGGGAGATGGTTCCATTTTTTGGGCCATCTCGTGTGTAGTGTAGTCGAGTCGAGGAGCATGGGATAATAATACCCTGCATTTTGGGAGTGGTTGTGTATTTTTCTCGGCGATCACGAAGAAAAAGCTTGGCTTTTGGGGGGTTTCACTCTTTTTCTGCGGTCGAACGGGAATTGCGGTTACATGGATGGAATGGGAATGGGCTGGGGATATCTTGCATGTCTCGGCGCCGGCGACGCGTGGCGGAGAGCTTTTCTCCTGCCACTGAGAGTGAAGATTGTGTCGATGTTGAGGTCTGGCCGGCAGGAATGAGGGGAGCCAAGGCTCTCCAACTTGTAGTAGATGTAGGTCCTTTCACTAGTCGAGATCAAGAGGTAATAAATAGCCAGCCGTGCAATGATCCTCCGCCACTACAGACACTACCAGTATTTATCAAGATCACTCGTGCCCAGTTTGGTGTCCTCGACTGTTCAATCTTGTCTGTCGTCCGTCAACAGCCCCTATAGTTCCACCGTAGCTGGCAAAGGTGTAACGACGGCAGCACAATTGTCGTTTTACAGCAGGTCTCACAGGCCAGACGCAGCAATTCATAAGAGCGGACAGGCAACGACCCCACCCCGAAGTCGCCATCAAAAATTTTGCTGCTCAAATCCTCCCCCCACTTCTTCCGTCGTCTCGGCGGCACCTCGAACTCGACTGATCGGTTCTCAGCGCCGTCGAATGCAATTGTATCAATTGTATCGAAATGTGCAAAACTCCTTAACTCGTTGAGAGAGACGTGGTCCCGAAATGTACTCACGTACTACTTTTCCTTAGTAACGTGCCATCAGGTGACAGGGGTTAATAAGAAGGTCCAAACCCACTCAAACCCACCCCCTCCAATGTCGTCGACCATCGGATGGACAATGACGGGAAACAACGAAAAAAAAGCTTCACAGCCACGATCAATAGTGCTAGTGTGGGCGATGCCAAGACTCTTCTCAGGAATGCCAAGACTTGGCGGTCTTGGCGCTACCCAAGAGGCGACATGAGTCTCTATCAGGGTCCGGGTACCTTTAGCCAAACTTGGTACCCCGCAACCCGCCGTAAAATGTGCCTGCCGAGGAAGAACCTTGTGGCAATATGGTACAACAGCCTGTTATAGCTGGAATACCTAACCCGCCAGTGACCAACGCCAAGACTTTGCCAAGACTTTGCCAAGACCCTCATCGAACTGCATCACTTGGGGATAAAGGACGCCCTTATCCCCAGAAACTTGTCGCATTCCTTCCCCTTTGCCAGAACAGCAACATATGCATCCGACAGTCCTTCAAAAGCCGAACGTAACACCAACTCGACGAAATCCGTTTTTTTCCTTTTCAGATTCGTTTTCGAAGATTCTGTGCAGTTTCGCTGCGTCCACCACCGTGTGCATTCTGAACAGTGGCACTTACACATCAGGTGCCCAGTCTTAGTCAGCGACGAAACTTGACTCGCCGCATCCAAGTCAGGATCCCGAACCCGAGAAGGATTGCTTGAGAGCTTGGAAGTCAAAAGGAAAAGGACACCTCGAGAAACACGTGACTGAAGGACACTCCAATTTTCCGAATTTTAACCGCCGCAGCCGGAACGTTCGCGGAACCATGTCCACCTCACCCCAAGACCAGGCCGGCCAGGGCTCTTCTGGAAGCAGCTCTTCGCAGAGCAATACGCCAGCCCCTTCTACCGGTACTAGCGGCACTTCTCAGTCATCTTCATCACAGCAAGCTACTCCTGCTCAAGATGATAACCTCATCTGCAGGTGGAATGCTTGTAACCAAAAGTTCCAGACCGCAGAGGCTCTCTATGTAAGTCGTCAAATCTCATACTATATCAATGCGCCGGAGCTTTTGCTGACTTTGAAATAGGACCACCTCTGTGAGCGCCATGTTGGTCGTAAGAGCACCAACAACCTGAACTTGACCTGCCAGTGGAACCAATGCAGGACAACGACGGTTAAGAGAGATCACATCACATCTCACATCCGTGTTCATGTGCCGCTGAAGCCTCACAAGTGTGAGTTCTGCGGCAAGTCTTTCAAGAGACCGCAGGATCTCAAGAAGCACGTCAAGGTTGGTTTATTTTTCTCACATTTTTTGCCCATATATTTCTCCATATACCGGGGTATACTCACGCGCGATGTAAATCCAGACACATGCCGATGACTCTACGCTTGTAAGGTCACCTCCGGACCAGTCCAATGGTCTCAATGTATACAGAAATCAAGGAAGTAAGGGTACGCCTTTTTTTTGTCTCTGATTTTACGCTGTGCTTTTTGTAGCCTGTGTCTGTGTAAGAGAAAATGCTAACCCAACCCTTCTAGCTCCCTCCAGCTACTACGACCACAATGGCCAGATGAGGGGAAATCCGGCCGCTTTCCACCACCAGCCCACCCACCCCAGCTACTACGGCGCCCCCCAACCATCCACCAACTACGGACTGTATTTTAACCAGCAGCCCATGAGCGGTCCCCGCCACGACTATCTCGGCCACAACGCCGCCGGTGGCTTCGACAACCGCAAGCGCCAGATGGAGATGGTCGACAACTTCCTCGGAAGCGCCAAGAGACGCCAGGTAGAGCCCAACTCGTATGCCCAGATCAACCAGTCGCTCTTGCCGCTCCACGGGATGCTCTCCGTGTCTAACGGACCTCTGGCGCCTACGGGTGACTACATGCCTGGACCGGGACCCGGCATGCAGGGGCCTGTTGGCGGTGGTGGCGGCGGCGGTCCCGCACCCTCGGGTCCTGGGCCGTTGACGCAGAACTACTATCTCCCGCCTATGCCTAATGCCCGCACACAGAAGGACCTCATCCAACTTGACCAAATCCTGGAGCAGATGCAGACGACGGTGTACGAGCACGCCAACCAGGCCACACACGGAATCCACGTCGTCGGCAACAACACCGTCGACCTGCGCAACAGCCCCTCCCCCCCCATGACGCACCAGCGTGGTGGCCAAGCAGCAGCGGCAGGCACCGCCGCCGAGGGTTACAACACCGTCGTCCCCATCTCAACAGCACACATGGCCTCCCCTATCACGGCCGTCTCCTCCACGGGCACCCCCGCCGTCACGCCCCCCTCTAGCGCACTATCCTACACCTCAAGCCAATCCCCCAGTCCATCCACCTCGAGCATGTCCCCCCGCTCCTCCGTCACATACCCCAGCCTACCGGCCCTCAGCTCCGCCTTCCCGGGGCAATCCACAACGGCGACGCTGGGCCCCACTTTCGACATGGACGAGCGCCGCTACCACTCGGGCGGTCTCCTCCAGCGAGCCAACCACCCACCCTTGCGTTCCGTCCCCGAGATCCTCCGCGGACCCCCGCCCCCTCTCCCCCTGCCGCCTAAGTCGGCCCCGTCGCCCACCTCGCCGGGTCTCCGTGCTACTGATGCTCGCTCGCCCTCTGCCGAGTCCGATAACAGCGAGACGCGCGAGCGGGAGCTGAACTATGACAGATGGCTGGAGAATATGCGCACTATTGAGGAGATTCGCAAGTGGATTGGCGCGAGGCTTAAGAATGGGGATTATGAGCGGGAGTCGCCCAAGTCGCCTTCGCCTATGGACGTTGACGGGCATGATTCGAGGCCGAAGTTTAAGGCTGAGCCGGGTCTTTACCCTTCGCTTCGGATGCCTGGAAACTGAAAAAAAAGAACTCGATGGAACTTATCGCGTTAGGGTGTGTTAGTGGAAAATGTATATGCTAGTGGAGTGGAAAAAGAGGACGTGATGACTTTGACGGAATAACTTGGCGCTTTTTTCTCAAGTATAGGGTTTTCGTTTGTTTCTTTTCCTTTTCGGATGTTCATCTCTACTCTTTTCTTTATTTTACTCGGCTGTTCTCTATTTCATATCTCATTGTCAATAGGGGAGGGAGGACAGGAGTCAACGCAACGGACTCGAAACGGTGTTTATATCTCGACTTCATCTTATTTATTCTTCTCGTACTTTTCTTACATGTGGAGGGAATGGTTTCCTTCTCTTCCCCTTCTGAGGGTTTCTTTTTTATTTTATTTTATTTTATTTCCTACAATGGGTTCCTCGGGATAAGTTGGGGTTGGTTGGGCTTTCATTTCCGTACAAATATGCGGTTCGCAGCAGTATATCCAACTCCTTTAGTTTCCTCTCAACATGAATATGAGGGACAGGTATAAATTAGCCCATCATCTCTGTCTCTATATCTCTCCCTACTGTCCGAGTATCGTGGCAACTCCGTAAACCCATCACTTCTTCAGCTCTAATTTTAGCCCTCCGCAAACTTCCTCACCCTCCCTCACCGGAACCTTTTTTTAAGATTTACGGGACAGAAAGTCTCCGAGAGATCCCCCCCAGAAGGCGAGGAAACATATCTTGGGCCTTGGACCCCCAAAACAATCGAAAACTCGTTAAGGTTCGCCCCTGACGGTCATTCGCTCCCACGACCAGCTGAGCGAATTACGAAGCAATTACAGCAGTGTACATGCAATTAGGTCCATAATTATCGCATCGCAGACTAGTTTAGTTTACATACAGAAAAAGGAACAAAGACAGATGACGCAAACGTCCCATCGCCAACTCCGAGTTCGGCCTCGGCTCAGTGCTTCTAATGTCGTCATCCCGCTCCTCAACAAGCATGAGTCAAGGCATGGATAGATTCACGACGTCGTAATACTTCAATGAATGAGTCAAGATATAGCACACGAAACGAAAATGAGAGGCAAAAAGTCAAGTGCAAGGGAAACAGAAAACGAGATGTTCTCGTAAGGCTTTTCATTTCTTGTCAAGGTCTGAAGGTTTTCTTCCTTTTTTTCTTTTTTTCTTTTTTACTCCAAAGAAATACTCTCAGAACTTCGGGGGAAAAACTTTTGTAAGACTGATGAAGCGAGAAAAGAAGCAAAGAATGCTATGATTTGCTTCACATCCTGAACCCTTCTCTGTCCAAATAATTCCTGTTCCCTTGCCTTCTTCCGCTCTTCCTCCTCGTCATCCCGAACCCTATCAATAGCAAAGCCCTGCTTCAAGTCCGGTTGGTACAAGTACCTGGATAAGCTTTCTGCTTCCTTCACATGTGCCTGTGCTAGAGTTTGCCCGCTCCCCAACCAGCATCTTCTAGAAATTCTAGCCGATGCTTCCGTCAGCCACCTTCGCATTCAATAGGAACACTCCTTCCACCCACTGAAACCACCCCATCCACCCTTAGACCTCGTAGCGAGATCGTGTCATTCGTCGTATCTGAGAAAGGATTCATCAAAAAAAGAATCTGTCCTCTCATCGATCACATTAAAATACGTAGAAGGGGCAAAAAAAAGGAAAAAAAGAATAAAAAAGAAGGCGCGACCGGACAAGCCAAAAGACGACACCGAAAAAAAAGGCAACAGGTGCAAGCAAACACCACTTCAGATGAGCCGCCACTTGAACACATCTGTGAGACCCGGAGACCCCCACTCCACAATCTCCACCCGGCGATCTGGTCTTCGACAAGATGAGGCGCTGCGTTCCAGCATTGCGCTCTCCGAAATAAACCGGGTGTGAGAGGGAGCGTGGATGTGTAGTTTTCCCCGGGTGTGCCGCCAACATATGAATCTCAAGGAGAAAATAGAGAGGTGGAAACCTCCTTCTCCATAGCCATCATTTGATCCGAGAGGTTGACCGTCTGTTGTTTGCACAAGAGCAGCCCGTAGGGTGCTCCTGCCACTAGACGCCGACCATCAGTCTCGCGATTGAGTTCCACACCACCAGAGCGTAGAATCCAGTTTGCAAGACAAAGCGCTAGGCAACATTTCGATCCTGTCGCTAGCGCTTCTGACGGACTCAAAGTATGATCCTTAGATCCCTCCAAAAGTCGAGGGCCCGCCCGCAAGGAAAAGAGCACACAAGATGCTTTCCGAATCCCCGATGATAATAGAAACACGGACCTTTCCCCCCCTTCAAAAAAAAAAAAAAAAAAAAAAAGATTAAAAAAACAAACCGCAAGACCGCCGTCCCATAATGCAAAGTTTGTGATAGTATGTGTGATAATGCGTGTTCGCGTGAGCTGTGAGCCCAAGCCAAGGCTTTCCCATAACCCGTCCAAGTAAAAATCCCCCGGCGGCCTTGAATCCTCCGCGCTAATGAGAAAGTTCCGAGACGCCGTTGTGTTGAATGAAAACGGACATGATGCAATAAGATTGATAAGAAAAAGAGATAGGGGTTTGTGTTGAAAGGAAAAAAAAGAGGAACCGCCCACAGTGTGTATGTGCTGCCGTGAACGACGAAATGTTTGGATGTCGGACGTAGATGGTTTGAGATAATGTTGAAGACGCGTGCGCGTCCATCTCAAACCATCTTGTATGGGTATTCGTCTGTGCCACGGCGCCGCCCTGGGCCGAGCCAGCCGTCCTCTTCAGAGCATTGTGGTAGTCGAAGAAGAAAAAAAAAATAAGGGGAGAGAGAGTGAGGAGACCCTGAGAAGAGAAAAAGATGATAAAAGTGAAGACCAAAATATCCTTCCAGCCCAATCATTTCGTGTCCTTTCACCCAAAACGCCACCCATGCCAAATTTGGGTATTATACAGAACGGAGTTGGAGGAGCGCCTCGACGGCAGCTCGCTCCTGCGCGTCGGAGGTAGATGCCAACGCAGAGAAGTCGATATTTGCGGGTTGCAGCGAGCGCGCCATGCCGGCTGTGGCCGAGAATGAACGAAGCCCACCGCCATTATATACATGCGGAGAGAGTTGGTTGCCGTCGGCGGCCGCCGCCGCTCGGTTCGGGTACGAGCCCGCACGAAGGGCCGCAGCGCCAATGGCGGCCCAGTCTTCGTCATCGGTGACATCGTCGGGATCATCGCCCATGACCATGTCGTCGTCGGGGGCTTCGGAGCACGAGGCTGAGGCCGAATCATCATCCAGTGACATGTTATCGGCTTCGTTCTCCGCCATGTAAATGTCGCGGTCGTCATGCGAGAAGACGACGGAGTCGCCCGTGCTAGATGACGACGGGTTAAGTCGGGACCTATCGACGGTCCTCAAGACACCGTTGGCAATAGGAATGCCCGATGCGACCGACGACTCGCGGCTGTTGGGAGGTGAGGCGCCCCTGTCGCGCGAGGGATAGCCGCGTTGCTTAGCATCCCACCTTCCCCAGCCCACCTTTTCAAACTCCACGTCTCCTTGCAAGCCTCCACCTTCTCCTCCCCGTCCCTCCAGTGCTCCTACTACTAGCCTTCGCGCCTTGGTTGGCGGGATTCCAGCGAAGCCAGGTACCGATGTGGTGAGGTAGCCCATGATGTGGCGAATGGCCAGAGGTCCGTGGTTGAGCAGGATCTCTGGAAGGTGGTACTTGGCCAGCATGGCGCTGGTGATGGCGCCGGCCGATTCAAAGGCAGCCAGGCCAGCCGACCGGTGACGATGGTGATCGTCGTCGTCCTGGAGATCCAGGTCCGAGTCGATGGGCTCGAGCTTCGCGGCTTTCTGTAGTTGGGCCTTGAGCCCGTGAGGAGGCAAGGCAGGAGAGATGGAGTTGGGAGGAGTCGGGAGAGGTTGAGATCGTGTCACAGCGCCAGGGACGCTCCGAGCCGCTACAGCAGTTAAGTTGTCTCGGCTCAAGGAGGCCATGGGAATATCGCGAGCAGATACCGGCGACGCCATATTGTTCCGTTAGGGTCAGATTAAGACGCTTTATGGATTCGAATTCTAAAGACAGTGAGATGTTAATTTTGAGCTTGTTGCAAAGTAGAGAGTGAGGCGACACGAAAAATTCAAATGTTGCCTCTTGGTGTGTATGTATGTATTTGTGTTGTTGTTGTGTTCTCGTCGTTGACAGGGAAGAAAGAAAATATTTAATCAAGCTTGAGTCACATCCAGAATGGACCGCGACTGAAGTCGGTATCCGAAGATAGGGGACTGCAAGGGAAGGGAAACAAGGGGGGAGATTAAGAGAATAGCGGTGGTTGCCTTACTGGGATAATTTGCGTCGAAACCGTCAAGGTTGGAAACAGTTCGAAAAATCGGACAAAAAAATTCAAAGTCAGGCGAGCGACCCAAAATTATCTTGATCCGACGGGGAAAAGGAGGCAAAGAAGGATAATGGAACTGTCCGGTAGAAGCTGGCGCGATAATCTGGACTGGTGACAGATGGCTCTCTCGAAAAGGAAACAAAAAAAAATTAAGTCGTGGTTTTGTTTTCTCGTTTGTTAGTTGCTTTGGGGAGAGAAAACAAAGGAGAAGGTTTGGCGAGGCGTCGCGGCGTTGCCATATGTATATACATAAACTACTTCATACGGGAGTGTTGAGTGTGGGTGGGAGTGGGAGTGGGAGTGGCAGGAGCAGAAGAGGGAGTGACTGGAACGATCGATGGAAGGGGAGGCCCTGCACAGGCTGCACAGGGAGAAGGGAGAATGCCAGGGAAAGCCGGGCACAGCGCAGCGCAGGCACACACTCTCTCGATACTCGCACTCACACTCACACACCAAACGTGCGAGTACTATTACAGATTGACGCATTCGACAAAAGAGTATCATTCATCATTTCCACAACCATGGGCTAGTCCTGCGCTGCAAATGGCTGCCCATGCCAATAGCTGGGGGCGACTATTTCCATCTACAAAGTAACCCATAATTAGTCTGATGAAAGTATCAAATTCTAGCACAAAACGGTACCCGAGTACAATTCCCCGACATCGATTTTGG